GGGGATGAATTTCAAGTTTATTTGGAAATTGTTTCATTTTAAAAAACGTAATTGACCAAATTCAAATTTTGCAAATGGGATGTTATTTACATGCATTCTTAAAGATAAAATTGACTCTTCAAAGCCACCTGCAATTAAACCACCCATTAAATGATTTTTTTTCTCCAAACAAGTGCTTAAAGGATCCATAGTAGGGTGGCCCTTATTTTTGACTTTACGGAAATTTAAAGTGCGGAACCCTGCAAATGGTTCCATTTGATAAGAAAGTAATTGGGGAAAAATGTTTCAAAATGCGCCTTAAAGAGCCTAAAGTTGCGAGCTCGGCGCGCCAAGTTGCGTTTTGCCGTCATTCCGCGACTTTTTTCCCCCCTTCAATATGTTGCTACGGCTTAAGGGGTAACACACTTATTAGAGCACTTTACAAGAAAAATAACCCAATTTACCTCGCCCATTTTAATCCGCTCTTTTCTCTCCTTTAAAATGGCCACATCGAGCGATTTTTCGTAACAATCTCCCCGCAAGGTTTGCCTGAATGAGTTTAAATTTTTTGACGAGTCAAAAGCAGAAATTCCTCAGATTCTAGAAGTAGAGTGTCTACAGAATCATTTATTTTAAGCCATAAAAAGAAAACATTGTGTTTAGCTGCTGGAAAACCAAGTCAATTTAAATGTATTTTGGAGCTAAAATAGGCAAATTTGAATTACTGGTATGAAATGCCATCATATCATTGCAAATTAATTCCCTTGATAGCCATAATGTCTAAGTTTCTTATATATGCTTGTTTAAAGTACTCGAGTTTAGACACTAATAACACCAATTTTAGGCATATGGTAAATTTTTGCCTCGTAAAACTACCCCTCAGAGCTGAAAATTGCTCTTTCCCATGGAGCTCTCCAAAAAATGACCGGCTCTTTAAAAACGAAATCCTATAATTTACTAACCACCTTGGGCTGAAAAACTGATTTCCTTGTTTTCTTGTACTAGGTGGAAATAAAAGCGGCTCGGGGTTTGTATTTGCTTTATGCCATGTACTTACACCTCTATCAGTTTGCGGTTCAATTGGATGAAGTATTAATGTTTCAGTTAGCCTCTCAATGAAATCTAAGCCTTATTTCTTGACTTCAAAGATAATGGAACACTTCCAATTCAAAAACCGTGAAGTACGGTTAGAGATTAAACGAAGATCTTTCAGAAAAAAATGTATATATCTAAATCCGTGATCCAAAATTAATTCATGCAGTAAAGGGTTAATCTTTTAATCTTACTCATAAGGAAGATATTTTTCTGTTTTCTGACACGGTGATCGTTGACACCATGCAAAGTTACCATTTTGATCATTGGTTGCAATTTTTTTATGGTGTCCCTGGTGGCTTAGTGGACTCCGTTTTCTTTTTTTCTTCTGGTATCCCATGCAGAAAATCTGATTGAATGATCTGAAAATTTCCCCTGCGAGCTACTAGGGGGTGGGGCCCACGCACCTCTTTTTTTCTGTCTCTCTCTAATTTGGTGCGTGGGCTCCACGGACCGTGGATTCGATGCATCAGTTTTCGAGGGGGATGAGTGCGTGGATCCCACGTAAATCTCAGCGTTACCGGCCCTTTGAGGTGCATTTTAAAATATTTGTTTTCCCATTTTTATTTTTCTCCCGTTATTTTCTCATCTGATGAAACCATTTGCAGGGTTCCGCACTTTAAATTTCTGTAAAGTCAAGAATAAGGGCCCCCCTAGTCCATAGGGACCCCCGACCCTACTGACTTCCATACCCCACTTTCAATACTTTTCTACTAACGTATGCATCATGCATTCAGTGTTCTTGATTATGAGCAATCACCACCTGGTCATCAGCAACTCGGCCGCCATTTTGAAAGTATTTACATTTCAAAAATGTAAAGCAAGCAAGTCAGCAGAGAGCAAGAGAGCAGGATCCTGAGGACGTGCAAATCCAACCATAAACGTTCAGAATACCAAGTTTCCGTCATTTTTCTGGCGCCATTTTGAGTTTATTTTGAATTTTCTAATGAAAGATTTGTTTTTCTCATGCTGAAATACCCCCGAATGCCAAGCTAATGCAAATTCACCGATAAACAGCCTAAATATTCCCTTACCGCTCTAAGTCGCCATTTTGACCGCCGCCATTTTGAGAAAGACAGAATTTTCCGGAAAACTAATGCCAGATTCGTTTTTCTCGTCTAAAAAAACTTTCGAATGAAAGTTTTCGTCCCAATCAGTCAACAAAAACAGAGTTGTTAAATTTCCGTTATTTTGAACTTTGACCGCCCGCCATTTTGTCAGAAATTAAGATTTTGACTTGCGGTTTGGGCCAAAAATTTTCTTTTTCTATCTTCTTTCGATTGATGTGTCACAAGGAGGGGGGGGGGTCGCCTTTTGAAAAAACATTTGTGGCCCACAGTCCCTCCCCACTGGGGAGAGGGGGCAAAAGTAGCAAATATTGATTGATGAACATCCCCCAAGTTTCGTTTCAAAATATTAATTAGGTAAAATTTTAAAGGGGGTGGAAGGGACTCTTGGGACACCCTGTAGACTTTTCCACTAGAGTATTGGTACTCCTTGCTGAGCACGTTGATCGATGGCCACGCCGCTGTAGAATAGATCATCGTCTACATAATTCTATAGTGCTTTTTTTGCCCTTTGCCCTATGCCCTGTTTTCTTGGTCTTAGTAAAAACAGCGACATCCACTTCAAGCTTCTGGATTTCCGATATCAGTTCCGGTAGCTTATTCAAAATGCCTTGGACATTCCATGTCCCAAATACCAATTTCCGTTTTCTAAACTTTTGTCGACGTATCTATTAATCACTTTATCATTCCAGCAAAAAAAAAAATGATTGTCTGTGAACTGCTGTTTAAAAACTGTGTAATGCATTTTATTTTGACTAACTTCAACATTTGTCTTTCGGGCAAGTTTTTTAGAATACAGTTTTCAGAATGAATGGAAGGGCAGATGCTTTTTTAAAAATAAAAAAAAAATGACATCGTATTCGACGTCATGACCAAACAGCTTGTCTGGTATGGTCACGTTAACAGGATGACGGAAGAGAGGCTGCCGAAGAAGATACTTCTTCCTGGGAGGAGAGGAAGAGGTCGTCCAGTGAAAGGGTGGCGACGGGGGTTTTGGAGGAATAGGGGTAGCGCCAACTCCCTGATGGGCTCTGGGGAGACAGGGGATTTTGGCTGCTGGGAATCGCACTACGCCAAGAAGCGCTGTCGAAGCGGCCTCTATGTGTGTTTGTTAAAAGGTACAATTTTTCCAAAGCAGAATCATTACAAGACTGGGCCTCATTCCCTTTTTCCCTATAAAAAAAGCCTCATGGAACGAGCTTATACTCCTAGTTTCATCCCAAAAAACCCTATTATATACTTGTAATTTCAATGGGCCTGTTGCAAACTTTTGCCAGAGCAGAATGAAGAGTTGTCTCCCATAGATAATGCCTCAAAAATCACGATGAGCGCATCGGCAAAGTCTGAAATGCACTCATAAATTCACAATCTGCGTAAGAAATTTGCGTTATTTTGAGCTTCCCGCTTCAAAAACGATACTACTGCACAGGTGAACATTTTGTTAGAGGAGTCGCTCCATCGTCGGCAATATTCATCATGGCCGACGCTTGCGCAGTTCCTCGCGTAATTCGAGGAGAACTCAAGGTCAATTAAGGCGGGCGAGGAAAATATGAACGTAAAAACGCCGATTGTTATCTGGTTTAATCCTGTTTAGGTGTTATCTCGTTCCATCACACGTGTTTTGGCGGACTGGCGTCAACCATGATGAGTATTGCCGCCAATGGAACGACTCCTCTAACAAAATATTCACCTGTACCGTAGTATCGTTTTCGAAGCGGGAAGCTCAAAAAATCGCAAATTTCTTACGCAGATTGTGAAGTTATGAGTGCATTTCAGACTTTGCCGATGCGCTCATCGTGATTTTTGAGGCATTATCTGTAGGAAACAACTCTTAGTTTTGCTCTAGCAAAAGTTTGCAACAGGCCCATTATGCTAGTATCTATTATTATCATGTATCCTTTATTCACTTAATTATTACATTAAGGTATGAATCAGGCACACTTCCCGCAGGCCTAAACAATAGGCCTTAGCAGTAAGGGATGGGTGAGGGGTAAAAACACAGTGCCTAACAAAGCAGACTTCTTGGCTAGTACTAGTGAATGCTTCCCAGGGATTTTGTTCCTCAGTTTAGTCCAGTCTTTGGAAACTGCTCCAGTAGCTCCTATCACAAAAGGTATACTCTGGTGTTGGTCTTCCACATTCTGCTGATTTCGATTTATAAGTCTTTATATTTTAGTTTCTTCTCAGCTTCCTTCTTTGAGATGTTCCTGTCTGCTGGAATAGACGCGCCTATCAGCAGACATGTTTGCCCCTTCCTACGTAGGATGATGACCGGTCTGTTTGCCTCAACAGTTCCATCGGCTCTGACAGGGTAGTTCCACAGGATTGTTGTCTCTCCACCTCTGGTTGTTGCAGTGTCTTTTGGTGTATGTTCATACCATTCATCTGCGTTGACTTCCATTCCATATTCTTTGCAGAGACTGTAGTGAAGTTGGGTGCACACTCTGTCGTGTCTCTCGATGCAGTCCTTTTGAGCTAGAATTTGGCAACCTGATGTAATGTGCCCAATTGTTTCTTCAACTGTTGGCAGATTCTGCATTTACTATATCCATGTTTTTTGTGGATTTGCCGCTCCCAGTACCTTGTGTTTAAGGCTTGATCTTGTGCCGCTACAATAAGGCTCTCTGTTTCTGCCTTTAGTACTCCTTTACTGAGCCGCACGGTTGAGAGGTTACTCTCAATATAGTCATTTTCTAGCATCAGTGGATACTACCCGTACATTCTCTTTCCTTTCCATTTGGTTTTGATGCTTCCTGAGATTTTCTTTTTGATTTTTTGCTTCCTGCTGTTCTTAGAGGCCAATTCAAAGTTGTCTCCGAGCTCAATCTCAAATTTTATTATTATTATTCACTTTTGTTCCAGAGAATTTTATGATGTAAGCCCCGATCTCCCAAAGAATTGTTTGTTAACAAGATGTCTTATGGGAAAAAAGAAAAATATTTACTTTACCTCACCAGCAATCAAAGACTTGGTTGAAAGTAATCATGATAGAATTAAGGTAAGTTCTCTCTTCAAAAAATTAATATTTATGTTTCAAGGATCCTCTGCAAAATTCTTCACTGTAGAAAATATTATCCTATACTATCAATCCTATCCTATTCTATCAACTAGCAGAAAGCCTGTGACTGAAGTCACGGGTCTAGATGCTTCACACAAAATTATTTATTTAACAAGAAGGATTAATTCCTTAGAATTTACTGGGGCATTAGGTCGATATTGTTTCTGGGATGATACCATTATTCGGCCACATGGGAGCCTGATTTGCCTGAGTGTGCATGCTATTTCACGACGATACAGCTATTCGACCATGCAAATTGGACAATGTAGATAGACAACTCAAACAACACAATATTTAATCTTTATCCTTCTTTAAAAAAGTCAAAATATAAATTTCAAGTATGAATTTTTTTAAAATTTTATGCTTTACACTTTTATTACCATCGTTAAATCGTATTTTCAGTTTACAATTTTTAGACAGCCCAAAATCGTTGAAAGTCTGAAATCTTCAGAGAAATCATTTTTGAAATTAATTCTTTTAAACACGCTATTCAGTTCTGCCTGATGAAAGGACCCTACAACAAAACGGCCAAATCGGCCTAAACACGGAATCCTACGATTTTCTCAGGGATGAAAGAGGGTCTCCCCGGACACTCAAAACTTGTCATATTTTTTGCCTAACCCCCAGGGAAAAGGGGGGATGGGGGGTCAAAGTCAAACACTTTAAAGTATCATAACTTCTCGACAGTTTGTCGTAGAAAGAAGATCTTGGTGTCAAAATTTCCAGAAAAATGACAGCTTTCAGAATATATGTATGAAATTAATAAAATTTTAAATTTTGACCCACTTTTTGGGGAATTGTACAAGGTCCCCCTTTCGTAAATTTTCGTTTTTCGATATTTTCGGTCGTTCGGTTCGCACGGAGCAAAACAAAAACAACTCTAAATGAAAGTAGAGGGCATAAGGCTTAAAACAAGCCCAAGTTCATCTTGGGGAAACGATTAAAAGCGGAGTTGTGAGTCTTCAAAGTTGACGCGGCGCGCGGGAACCTTGTATGTTCCGAGTCTCAAGGTCACCTACGCCCCCCGGATTGCCTGCAGGTTGCAAGTTTTTGTGTTTTTATGCTTCTGTAGGTCGCTTTTAATGTAAATCATTCCATGAAAATAGAAAAATCGGAATTTTTTAATTTTACGGGAGGAGAGAGAGGGGGCTTAGAGTATCAACCATTATGTCCATCATACCTCATTAAACATTTGCTGACGATGACGATTCTGCTCTTATAATTTAGAAAAAACCATGGACCCTCAGTTCAAATATACACATGATACATACAGAACTGAACCATTTAGGAATTTTAACCCATTGATGCCAAATTTTGGGGTATCCCTAATTTTAAAATTTTTTAATTGAGCTATGAGCTACAGCGCGCGCTTGACGGAACTCACTTGGTAAAGCCAAATAGTTCCTCGTAGAAGCAGACGAGCTTTGAGCTTCAAAACGAGTCTCAGTTATTCTTGAGGGGGCAATTGGAAAAGCAGTTAAAATTTTTTAACGTTAATGTGGTGTACCTCATTGAAGGCCCGAAAATTTAAAAAATTCCGATTTTTCTATCTTCATGGAATGATTTACATTAAAAGCGACCTACAGAAGCATAAAAACACAAAAACTTGCAACCTGCAGGCAATCCGGGGGGCGCACTATGGTCCCATAGCCCGATTTAAGCGGCATTAAATCAGATATGTATGTTTATACCTTGCAACATGAGTTTTCGGTGGTTCTTGGGGTCGCTGAGTGCAAATATGCTAACAGTTTTCAGAAAAAAATCAATTTTTAACATTTTTATACTTTTTTATAACTGCTGTATAATTTGTGGAAAAACCTTAAATTGAGGCGAACTTTCAACGGTTCCGCGGTGGTATAGTGGACACCGTGTCTGACCGGTAAATCTTAGGTCCCGGGTTCGATCCTCGGAGGAATTTTTTTTTTTTTTTAAGCTTCACAATTAAATTTTACATTGGATGGACTATAAGAAGCTAAAAGTAGAACTTCGTCGAACACTACTGTCAAGGGAACTTGAAAAAGACAGCTCAGGATAATACTTCAAAGTTTCATAGCTGCGGAGGTCTACTTTCAAGTTCCACCGATCAGCCGTATGATCTTGTTTTCGTCTGCTAAGCTGAACTTAAGCTTAAATATATCCATTTTGATAGACTATGTGTTTGATGCATGGGTAAACGTCAAAAAAAAACTTTTGCGGGACCTCAAAGAAGCTTCCTAAGACGATTTCATCACTTGGGAGCCTTACTTTCAAGTCCCACCGATCAACCGTTTGAACGCGTTTTCATCTGCTAAGCTAAACTTGAGCCTGCATGTATTCATTCTGATAGATTATATGTTTGAAACATGGTAAAACGTCAAAAAAAAACTTTTACGGGACCTTTAAAGTGGCCTCCCGAGGCGATTCTTCGCTGTTCTTGAGCATAAGTTTCAATTCCTTCCGATCAGCCCCATCAACTCGTATTATTCTGCCTGGGTAAATTTAGGCTCTAAGGCATCTGTTTTGATAGAATATGAGAGTGGAACATGATAAAATGCATGGCTAATGGCATATGATAGCTAATAGTAGTGACTGCTAAGAAACGCGAAAACGTCATTTTTCATGAGAAATAACTTGAGGCTATGGTGGACTATGGTTCTGCCACTCAGACTAAAAGGTAGTCTAGAGTCATGACAATAACTTCCGAGTAAAATTACGAGGTGCTCAGAGGTGCAAAGTATATTTTTTGGGTCATACATAGGCTGTCCCAAAACAACTGAGAGTAAGTCTGTATTTCAGAAACAATAATAGATATTGAAATGCGGTTTGTGGGAGGTTGTAGCTCATATCCTTAGCTATCCAACGAGCTCAAGATTTGCTATTTTGGTCAAAATTTCGCTGAGTTACAGCAATTTTTTGGAGCCGTGTAAAATAGAACCCTACAGGATTTTTGAGTATTTTTTTCCTTGTCTGAACTGTTGTTCCGAGATCGCAACTTTGCGGATCACGTTGGCACTGGTCTAGATGCAAGTTCTAACATGTTTGCATGTGCTTTCATTGCATACCAGAGTTTTCTTCAACTTCCCAGCTCAGGGAAGCCAACATTGTCCAGCGTTAATGACACTTTCTTCCTCCGCCGCAGAAGTTGACGGCCGGCCGCCATGCGGAATCAAAGCCGCCGACTCGCGACCCTCGGAAAAAGCTGCATGCCACCGATAAATAGTGCTCTCCCCAAGTCGATTTTCTCCATAAGCAACTAACATTTCTTTCACGGTATCAGAGACAGTTAAACCTTGGTAAACACAGTAACGGATGGCATAGCGATGCTCTTGTTTCAGCTCCGCGGGCGAACTCATTGCACCAAACGAGAACACGTGTCATTAACGCTAGACAATGTTGGCTTCACTGAGCTGGGAAGTTGAAGAAAACTCTGATATGGAATGAAAGCACATGCAAACATGTTAGAACTTGCATCTAGACCAGTGCCAACGTGATACGCAAAGTTGCGATCTCGGAACAACAGTTCAGACAAGGAAAAAAATACTCAAAAATCCTGTAGGGTTCTATTTTACACGGCTCCAAAAATTTGCTGTAACTCAGCGAAATTTTGACCAAAATAGCAAATCTTGGGCTCGTTGGATAGCTAAGGATATGAGCTACAACCTCCCACAAACCGCGTTTCAATATCTATTATTGTTTCTGAAATACAGACTTACTCTCAGTTGTTTTGGGACAGCCTATGTACTTTTGCGATTTTATTGAAAAAATTGACTATGTCTAAGGGTTAATCTAGAGCATTAGATATGAAAAAAAAGAATTGTTTCAGCATGGAACATCTAGAAATTACCTTATATTTTGTAAATCAAGTACCCAAACACTTTCAGTTACGGTGAAACAACGAAAACAAGCCCTTAAAGACAGCACTGCCGCTCGGTAACTGGAAGCGTACTCAAAAGTGCTCCGCGCGCCGCACTTCCCAGGCTTGTCACATCTTTATTCGTGTTTCAATCTAGATGATATTTTACAGGAGTCTTCTTTACAGTATGTACTATCGATCTACGTATTGAAATCGAACTTCTTTCAAACTTCATTTTTCCGATTTATTGCCGCTTAAATCGGGCTATTGGACCATAGTGGGGCGTAGGTGACCTTGAGACTCGGAACATACAAGGTTCCCGCGCGCCGCGTCAACTTTGAAGACTCACAACTCCGCTTTTAATCGTTTCCCCAAGATGAAATTGGGCTTGTTTCAAACCTTAAGCCCTCTACTTTCATTTAGAGTTGTTTTTGTTTTGCTCCGTGCGAACCGAACGACCGAAAATATCGAAAAACGAAAATTTACGAAAGGGGGACCTTGTACAATTCCCCAAAAAGTGGGTCAAAATTTAAAATTTTATTAATTTCATACATATATTCTGAAAGCTGTCATTTTTCTGGAAATTTTGACACCAAGATCTTCTTTCTACGACAAACTGTCGAGAAGTTATGATACTTTAAAGTGTTTGACTTTGACCCCCCATCCCCCCTTTTCCCTGGGGGTTAGGCAAAAAATATGACCAGTTTTGAGTGTCCGGGGAGACCCTCTTTCATCCCTGAGAAAATCGTAGGATTCCGTGTTTAGGCCGATTTGGCCGTTTTGTTGTAGAGTCCTTTAATGGAAAACGACCATTTTATTCGGTTTGAAAATTTTATCACGTTTCTAAAAAGTGTATAAGTTGCATTTTGGTAGAAAACTAACTTATCAAAATTGCTGGAAACAGAAAAAACAGCTGAATTTATTTTAGAATATTAACTTCATGCTCTTGAATCATTCGTCTCATAATGAGGTCATAAAAGATAAAAAAAGGTAAAAAGGATGGATATGCTCGTGTAAAATTTAACGCGCTTTTCAGTGATGTCATTGTTTTAACCCTAGACCAATTATTTAGGGCCAAAATTATTTAGAAACACGATAAATCGCTAACTCAGGAGATTTTGCCGGTTGTTGTTTTTAGATGGTATAATTCGGAAGAGAAAAACTATAATAAGTCTAAGGTTTGAATATGATTCCTCAACAAAATTTTATGATCCTTATAATTGATCTCTACCAAGTTTTTTGTTTGACGCTTAATTTTTGAGCCACAAAAGAAAAACTGTATGTAGGTCCTGTATGAAAACCGCTGTAAGCCGTTATTTTGAGAAACTGCGATTTGACCACTTTCCCGATGGCATTTTTTGGTTAACTTTTTTCCTGTCTTATTGGGTACCTAGAAACTCTATATACCAAAGGAAAAACTTATGCTAATTAGTCCGAGGTAAAAAGCTAAAACTGGACTAATACATAGTAATTCAGAGCCTCTGTTGTTTCTTTCATTTCAGATAATAAATACAGGAGTTAAAACTTTTGTGCGCTGTGATTACAAGAAAGTTTGTGATTTCCGGCTATCTCAAGAGGTAATTATTTTTTAATTTTGTTTTACCATTGATGATGTATGATAATTTTTTTTCTTGGGGCGTGTGTTTATTTCGGTGTGGGGTGTGGGGTGTGTGAGGGTGTGAGGGTGAGGGTGCGTGTGTGTGATAGTGTGTGTTTCGGGATGTGTGTAATGGTGTGTGTGTTTCGGGGTTGTGTGTGTGCATATGAGTGATATGGATAATAATCATTGCAATCACATACTAATGTGTCATTTATTTTGTTGAGCACAGTGTGAAATGCTTCCACAATAATATTAATATATTAATAGAAGAAAAATATTGAGAAAGGACGGGGAGAGTGTTATTCATTTAATTTTAGTAGTAGAAACCCTCTGCGACTCTTTTTACTGCATTAAAGTCCTATTTAGTGTTAATTTCTACTTCTTGTCTTTGAGACTTATGACGCCTCCTAAACTTTACGACGGGTGACTTTGCCATTAAACTTCCATCCTTTAAAATAATTGATTCTACCTCTAACACCCGTGCGGTCAAGGGGTCACTTTGACTGCTAGGCGGTATATAGGCTGTACCCAGACAATGGTTCATGGACCTTGTTTTCGAGTACTATTATTAAAGATATGGATTTGTGGTCTCAGAAGGCCTCTAGAGTGCAATTCACTAACTGAATCAGGATTTTACATCATCACTCAACTCAATCTTCGACTCTCTAGTAAATCTGGAAAAGAAATTGTTTGTTGGCAATTTTACCTGTTAAATAAGTTGATGATCTCTTTATAAATCTCATATTTTATCATGAAGTTTCAAAATTTCCCCTTTGATATTTGTTCATAAGGCCAAATTTAGTGCCTGAAATTCTTACAAGACACTCTGCAAACTATAGACAAAAGCCATCGATAATTCAAGTAAATATATTGATCAGTTTTCCAATTAATAAAATAAAGTAGGATAGAAAGTCTGCTGCACTGCAGGCCTACAGGAGCTCCAAGTTCAGGAATTTGCAACAAAAATGCGGCATGGCCTGATGTAGTTATTTGACCGCATTTAGGTGCTCTAGGCAGACGCAATATCGCTAGCATTCTTATGTCATTATGCTGCCATAAAAAATCTACGTATCGCTATCATCATCCATGGCTGCAAGGCAGTTACGATTCTTGAAAGTTGGTACCTAACCCTGTCTTTCCGCCGTTGAAATCCTTTAAGAATATCGATTTTAGGCGAGGCAATCTTCCTCACAAAGAATTGATTGTTTTACACACATTTAAATGAAGGAAATACAGTGTTGTCAACTTTCAAGAATCAGCACTGCTTCTAGACTACAAGATCACTATAGGCACTGTACACCTAAACAGAAGAATTCTGCTGTCAAATGCTCTCATGACAGTAAAAAATGAAGCCACTCATTTTTCTTTCTCTCAACATTCAGCAGCGCAAGCTCAAGCCATGCTTGATGCCTCCTACTTGTGACCCTTGAAAAATCTGTTACTACGAACACTGTAATTTTGAATTTATTATATTCTTGTTCTACGATACCACTAAAAAGTTTAATTTGGTTGAAGCAATATTAATTTCAAAGTGATGATCAGTAGTTTTGTGATATATATGGACAATTGGGAGGAAAGGAACGAGGGCAAGAACACAAAGCATAAGAGATCGAATCAGATGTATTCAAGGAATGACAGGAGGGAACAGACCTTACGCGACCACATATGGTCGCGCCTCACAATTTAGCGTGTATACAACCTGCAATACAAGGATGTAACAGTTCTTCCCCCTAAAAAAAGAAATGCTATAATCAAAAAGAATGAGGTAGTATCACACTGGATATCTTTCAGGACAGCTGGAAATCTTCCAGGGTGGCTGGAGTTTACTCAGGTCTGTCAGGACGTTGTGCAGGAACAGCTTGGGGTGAAGACGGTAATTGCTGAGGTGGAGTTCCAAGTGAGCGAGATAAAACCCGACTAGAGGGTTGCGGTTGGAGTAGAGTTTGAACGGTTGATCCTCTTCCTCTACCAAACGAGGGCCTTGGCGGAGCTGGATGATCACTGTTAGTTAGGTCCACCAGGGTTGGTTTTATTGGAGGAGATTCAAGGTTAGGAGTTGAGGCACAAGCAGCTGATAGGCTTTTGATGCATAAGAAGTTGAAGCATGACTTGACTTATGAGAAGTTGAAGCATGAGGGCTTGAATTATGAGACGTTGAAGTAAAAGGTAGATTATCAGTGGTTTGACGTCCTGTGAAGTTCGTGTCAGATTGTTTGAGTGCTACTGGATACATAGCTGGAATTTCGAATCTAAAGAAAACTTTTCTTAAGAAGATTGGGGTCATTAGATATGCCTTTGATATCAGCGTAAATTTGAAAGCGTTCAAGATATTGCGTACATTTTTCCTTTTCCTTGTCGAATTTCTCGAAATTAAGGATACAGGAGCCTATGCGGCGGTTATGTTACCAGATCCAGTACCAAGTATAGGTGATACAGGATTGATGGTGATGTTGTTCAAGGATGCCTTGACCACTTGCATGATAGTTTCGAATTGTTTAGCATTCATGTGGACGAGTTGTAGCGCAAAATTTGAATATTGAGAGGAAAAAACGAGAAGGTCAGACGAAGGTCATCATGAAATTCACGCGATCCTTATTAGCAACATGGAACAGTCCTGTCCATTATGCCATTGTCAGTGGCCAGGTTAGGCCCGGCACGCCATGCTATTAATTTCACGCAACGCGTAAATCGAAACTGCCAAGAGCAACGAAAATCGGAAAGTGCACGCACACTACATGATTTTACTTTCAAGTCCTCGTCGCCATTGATATAAATGGAAAATCCGGAGGAAAAGAACAAGGGCAAGAACACGAGGCGTAAGAGATCGAATCAGATGTATTCAAGGAACAGTGTTCCCGGGTGCTCCTTGTACGAGATCCGTACGCTCTACCGCTCTCCGTGCTACTATTGGCTGAGCGTCATTCTGTGACGTCACGCGCACGGATATTTTAAGATAGGGAAGCGTTTTTCCCATAAGGTTTTTGTCCGTACGCGGTCCGTGTCGGTATAGGGAATGTCCGCGCGGCACGGATAAATCCGTACGCCTGGCATCACTGTCAAGGAATAACAGGCGGGGACAGACCTCGCCCTACAACCTAGTTTGTATGCAACCTGCAATACAAGGATATAACATTTTGTCAAAGACAAATCAGGAGAACTTGTACCTCAGTTGCAATGTTTGGAAATTCTCGCTTTTTATTAAAATCTTCTCAAGGAGAAGAACTCAACTGTATCACCTTAACTTTTCTAATAGTGTTCTTTACACAGGGTAAAAAATTTGCAAAGTTTTTTCTTTTCTTTTAAATAGTGTAAACTCGTTTCCAATTTATTAAGTCAAGTATGAACTGGAAGTCTGCAGAGTTACAAACCGAGATAAAAATGTGTCCTTTTGCACCTTAAAAGTTTTGAAGTCGTAATAAATTTCAGTCAGCTTTCCAATCTCATGTACAATGGGTTTGTTGCATGTGTGGGGAATTTGAGTTTAAAATGTGTACCAGTAGAACTTTTCGAGGTAGAAACTATGGCAACGTTTTAAAAGTTCGAAATCGAGTCTTAAGGCCCCAAAAATTCCAGTAAAGTTCCATCAAATTCGATTCGGCAAAGAACAATTCTCATTGGCGGCCTAAGAGTTTTGTGGGATTCACCGGATAACACGTCTCAAGGTTGAGGGTCCGATTCCGACCGCCATAATCTGTATTTGTATCTTGGCCATGTGTTCATAGTGTGGAGATGTACTGGTTAACTGTCTTCAAGTGCTCATTTATCCATTAATTAATCCCAATTTTTGTCTAGAATCATGCCCACAGTCGTCGTTGATGAATTTTGGAAAGGAGATGAAAGAAATCTTTAAGTTTTTTGTCATAAATAAAGAAAATGTCGAAATTCTTGTTTTACCTCAATGAAAATTTATAATTTGACTTCAACCAGGGCCTGCCTAGCATTGCTCCTTTTATCGGGCCACGGCGAAGAATTCGAATCGCAAAATCAGATCTATTACTCATGCTTGAATGTGACCCGAAATCTCCTCCTCAATTTGAAACATTGGATGCAGCAACTCAAGAGAACATCAAAGATGTAGGTGAGTTAATTGTCGCGAGAATAATCTTACTAATGCTGCAAAAAAGGGGGAAAAAGGAAAAAAGAGCAAATAAACCTGCGCTCAATGTTGTATTTCACTATTGGGTGACTAGGCAAGGTTTGAACTGGAAGAAAATTTCACATGACTCCTCTTCAAAATCTTAAATAGGCAGGGTGTCTAGCATCAGGAAAAACCGGAAAATATCAGGAATTTTGGCCGATCAGGAAAATCGGAAAAATCGGACGTTTTATCAGGAATTTTTCTTACGCGAATCTCTTCAGCGGAGAAAGTCTTACTGCTTTTTGCTTACCGTGCCTGGAGTTGAGAAAAATCAAGAAAATGTCAGGAATTTTCAAAATGAAAAAATCAGGAATTTTTTATAAAATATCAGGAAAAATCAGGATTTTTCAAAATTAAAAAACACTAGACACCCTGATAGAATCCGACCCTCACAACTTGAATTTCGAAAAATTAACTCCTGAACGTGTTATTAACAAGTGTTTTTGACAGAGATCAAATGGAAGCTAGATCATACAAATGAAGGCTTTTGTGTTTTTGCTGTTTATCCACTGCCACTTGTAAACACCTTTAATCTTATTTAAGAGTTGATTTCCAGACTTCCCGTTGTGTGATTCGTTTTTCTGGTGAAATTCTAAGGAGGAAATGTATCATGTTGTGCTGCAACTCCTACTTTGTCAATGTCTAGTTACCCATTGTAATACATGAGGAATCAATGTCATCCTATACATCCGTTGGAAAATTGTGGCATTGTTATTATCTCACAGTCCTGTTTTTATCCTGTAAGGACAAAGTATAAAGTTCCTGCATCTTATTCCAGAGACTGCTAACCCCAGGATTAAGAGTTTGCTCCATCTGCAGTCAAAATCTAGCCCTTCATGGAAATTCTTCATCTTTTCAGGTAATGAAGGGCATGTTTTGGGATGCCCGAGTGAGTTCGAATTTTACACCCAAGGGAGGTGGGGATTATAACTTCTGAACGTTTAATTCAACTAAACTTCAACTAAACTCTCTAAAAATTTTATAGGAAATGAGAAGCTCCATACCTCTTCCTTTCCTTTAGATTTGGTATTGTGGGTTTTTTTTTTAATAACTGGATTTCATTTCATTCTGTATTTCTGTTATTAATTAATGGAAAGCAAATTTTCTCTTCTTTTAGACGTAGGTTGCTGCTTGCTTGAATATCGGAGTGAGGAACTAAATTTAGACCTGACAGGCTGGCGAGGAAAGTGCTCACTGAAAGTTTACATTCCGTCATCTGATGTTGTTCATTATATTAGGCTTTTGGGAGGTGATGTGTCCAAGTACGGTAAGCAACAAAGATTTGGTCCTGTAATGGTTCAAGCGGCCTTGAACGCCCAAGAATACTCTTTATTTTTTCAAACTTTCTGACGTCTTATATTTTTTGCCTTTTGAAAAACATACTTAAAGTACTTCATTGGATTTTACCCTGCTTTCAAAAATTAATCGTGCTAATATTTTCTTACCAATTAAGCTCAGTTTAGTTTTTCTCAACTCTGAGATCAATGCCAATGGATGAACATCAGAAAAATTGTTTGTTGTTTCTTAGCAGTCCACCATTCAACTAGTAATGCTTAATGTCACTCAACCTCAGTAATTGAGTCATGAGCTCTATGCTCATTATCAGCTACCCATCATTACAAGTTGTATGATCCTTGCACCTTGCTTGTGCAAACATAAAATTAAAACACCTTCACATCACAATCAGAATGTCGACGGTGTAAGTCAGCAATCACATAACTCGTTTGCGGTGTCTGAAAATCTCCGCCTCTAAGTTACCGAGTTATGTGATTCCCGACTTATACCGTCGATGTGCCTATGACAGTGGATTAGTGCTGATTTAGATTTTGGTCTTGTTTGATCTAAACTTCAGCACTTTGATATAATCATAAAAAATTCTCTAGACTACACAAGAGTATGTTTTGAAGGCATTTAAAAGGGTCAGGGAGTAATTTTCCCAATCCTATATCTTCTGAACAGAAAGAGATAAACCCAACGGGTAGAAAAATCTGTGTAAGTCATACATTCAGACTTAAAATCAGCCCAAGGTTTTAAAGGTTGGTCAAAGTATTAGCAAAAACACTCAATTTCACCGGCCAGGGAGAGTCTAGTCTTGCTGCCCTTGATTGGGAAAATTCCCATACCAGCCGATAGCTTATGAAAATTTATCAACCATCAATTGTTTTTGTTTGGCAAATGGACCCCAGCCTCTTCCCAAATATCATAAAAAATCAAAAGTCAAATCTGAACAGGATCCAAGCGCAATTTAGAGGGGTGATTAAACGCTGCCACTTGTTATTAAGTCCAATTAACGATTTAAACTCCTGTCATACTCAACAAAGGCTAAATGGTTAGCAGCGATGTCATTAACATGGCTGACTTATGGATGTGGTTTTGGATCCGTGCAGTTGAGTCTCATTTAAACTTTCCTTCCCATTTCCTCCCACCCCTGAGATTCTATCTCAACTAAATTCTCCTTCCTCACCTTTGTTGCTTCTCCCCCTCTTTTTCGCATTCCTCCCCTTTCCCACCATCCACCACTCTCTCTGATGTACTTGAAAAATTAACATTTTTTATTGATATTTCAAAGGACGTCCTTGCAGTTTGATCTTCTTTCGAGGGTATGACCAACAGTACTACTTTTTAAAAGTTAAGTAAAAATTCATGTTAGTCTATAAATCAATACGTGCAGCGGGAGGAAGTAAGAGAGGGGGAGGAGTGCAAAATATGGAAATGAAAAACAAGAAGGAAAAGTCAAGAGAGCTTTCTTTTCAGCTAAACCCAGAAGAGTAGGAGATATTGGCAAGTAGACTTGACTGCGCGGATTCAAACCTACATTCATACATCAGCCATGCCAACGCAAGCACAGCCTTCGGAATGTCCAGTACAAATATGTTACTACGTGATTTTTTAATTTCTGTCAAAAATTTGACATCTGAGTGGATACTTCAAACGGCTATACTCAGTTCAATGCGCAACAGGAGGTAAACATAAGCTGTACATGTAGGTCTTGGCAGAAAAAATCTCATTCTCTTGCTAACCATCAGACCAAAAATGTTGAGCCAATAGACTGCTACTAGAGGGCTACGCCCCCTGGCCGCTACGCGGCCCAACCCACTGAAGGCGCTTCACGCCATCAATGGGCCGCTTCGCGGCCCTACTTTTACCCTCCTAGCAGTGTTAGTTTTATTTTTCCCCTAAAAAATTATGATATGAGGTATACTTTAATTTTAAACTTTACTTAAAATTACTTTAAAATTAAAAGGACGCGTTTTGGAATGACTGCTTGATGAAATATTGCAGTAAAACAATGAATAATGATAGTGAGGTAATAATTAGGACTTCATGAGTCGGGGATCGAACCTACACCGAGTCCATAGTGGACGCATATGACGTCTTGGACGACTCGGCCACCGCTCGGCATGTGATTGCCGGCGCAAATCTTGTGTAGATAAAGTGTACAGCTGATGCGCAGGCTACACAGCTACTGCGCAACCTCCTCAACCACTGCGCATCCTCCCGCGCATAGCGGTAGCAGTATCGGAGCATTCTGTAAACTCACTCACTTTTATAACGTGATTTTAAAAAAACCTGGGTCCTTTTTCCAAAATCTGTTTACAGCGGGCTCATCTAGGGCCTATTACCTGTCGATTTACGCAAAAATCATGGAAATCGGCCCGGTAGAACGCTCAAACGAACTATGACAAGAAGTATAAATTTACATTGTTTAAATGGGAGAATTCGCAACTTTACCTCGTAATATAAAAAAACCTGGGCCATATTTTGAAAATCTGAAAGGAGTTGGCTTATCTAGAGACAATTGCCCGTCGATAGCCGCAAAAATCATGAAAATCGGCCCGGTAGAACGCTGGAACTAAGCGTTACCAGTTTCGCAAAATTAGGAGGTCCTGGAGCTTATAGTATAGATAGTGACTATATCATTCGATATAAAATCAAACTCTTGGTTCAAACCAAAACAAACTAATATAACCTCATAAACGAATTCTTTAGGGGATAATTGCGTTAATTTATCAAAATTTAATCATTGACCAGGCATAAATCAATCAAAGACTCATTGAACATGAGAACTTTTGATTGTAAGACACACTTGGATGCATTTTACCACCATGTTGCAAAGAGCTCAAATCAGAAAAGCTTTGTGTTTGTTCACATCTTAACCAAGGGTTTGATACCATATCGAATGACAAAGCCACTAAATCTGTTTATTCACCAATTTAAAGCTGAAAAGAGGATTTTATTAAATCAACTTTTTTGCTGCTTTTGCTTTAGAGGAAAAACTTGGGTGGGTTTGCTGGTGCACTGTGAGGTTGGCATTAGGTGAAGGGAAATTACGGTGGTTAAATTTAGTTTTCTCACGGACACCGTCACCAATTTTAAAAAATGTGGGCTTGTTACAAAGCTGAGAGTATGCCTGACACGAACTTAGGTGTTTAATTTTTCTATCTTCAAATATCTAACACGGAACTTTATTGCACTAATTATCCTTGCGCTTTGGATATTAGACTATGGTCTCTTTGCTATCTTCCATTTTCTTGGCAAAACAAGATAAATTTCTTTCATTTTCAGCATTTGATAAATTCAAGAAAGAGCCTGCTGAAAAGGATGGCGCAGTTATTGACACCAATTTAACCTCAGAAGGTCACATGGAAGTGGTTGAATACAAAGTCCCAGTGGAAAAGGAACGATCCGGAGCAACTGATGAGAGCAACAATGGGGAATGAAAAAACCAGTGGATGTCGTTGGAAATGAGTTTTGAAAAATTTATGATTGTGATAATTGAAATATTGGGTGAGTTATGGAAGTTTGTAATATTTTGTGATTTAAAAAAGAATGGGTCTTAAACGTTTCAAAACCACATTGAGTTTTTTTGCTTAAAAGTTCAAACTCACATTGCCGATCTGTAAAATGAAATATCGAGGTCCTTGTCTTTCGATTGTAATGTAATGACAATGAAACTTGTTTATTCAAAGTCACAAATAAAGAAACATTTTTAAGAAGTGTTGCTTCCTCCCTATACCGAGGCCTGGCGAGAGGGTCACTAGCACCATAGAGTACAGAGTGTGTTTCTTCCTCGTTTCTCAAGCTCTAACTTTCATGTTCAGTTTTCTTAACAGAACTTTCATGATGAATGTGATAAAGTTGATGAAAAATAAATGTGTAAATTATTTTGGGTCAATTTTCATGCCAAAAGAGCTTGGCTGATGAAATTTAAGTATTTGGGTCCTTTTGTAAGTTTTACTTCAAAATATCCAATGAATGTTCAAGCTTGCAAATAAAAAAGTGGTTTCTGTTCTCCAGTATTCATTGCAATGTACCGATTGGTTTAATTTATGTACACATTTTCCCCCGTTTTGTTGAATTACCCTTCAAAAAGGACAGTAAAATCCTTTCTCCATAATTCAAATTTTTCATGCCATGTTTCAAACAAACCAGAAACCTCTAACTCCTTCTTTTCTCTTATTCCCCCTCCCCATTTCCCTACAATTATGAATTTTCAGTGAAAGTCGAATCTTGTTGATGTCATGACCTTCTTAAAGTTTTAATTACCTCCAGGATCAATTAAAATAATGGCCGGCTTTAATCGTTGGTTCATCGAAAGTTGTATACATTCAACTGTAAAGGAAACCCTGGGTATGTGTGATGAGAGTAAGGATGTGCAGAAACCTTACTGGTCGGACAAAGAGGTGGAAGAAGGAATTGACGAGAAGCGTAGAAAGTGTCATGCTAATTGGCTTCCAGGACTGCAGACACTCGTATAGGAAAGCTCAGGCCAGGGTTCGTCGTTTAATGACCAGGAAGAAAAACGAGTCGTAGGAGAACAACTGCTAAAGGATTGACACATACCTGGAGGGAAAGAAGAGCGCTGAAAGCTGGAAGCTGATCAAATGTCTGAGAAGGGACGTAAAACGGGACATTTTATCTCCAATAAAAATCTCACAGCTTGAAGAACATTTAAGTAAATTATTAACGGAAGGACGACCAGAGTTTCAAATGGGGAATGCTGAAAATATAGTCGAGGATCACTCAATAAAAATTCAAGTAGATGAGGTGGTCACAGCAATCAGAGTTTAGAGGAATGGAAGAGCTCCTGGGCCAGGGAACATTCCAGCCGAGTTAATGAAATGTGGGACTGGCAAATTGGTTAATCATCTTAGGGATTTGCTGCTAAAGTGTAAAAAGTCCTGGAAGAATGGAAAGAAGCCTGGATAACAGCGTCTCATTTAGGCCTTGTCTCCACGGGACGTTTTCATGGGATTTGTCCCAAGTTCAAATCGCAGGAATGAAACTTCTGGGATTTTTCCCAGTTACCGTCTCCACGGGACGGGGCTCATTACAGTCCTGCAACTAGTTTGAGCGGGAAGATAAAGTAGTTAAAGTCGCGTATTTGATCGGGATTATAATAATAAATGCACTCAATTGACAATTAGACACATTATTTTAACTAAACAAACATTAAAAATGTAGTGATGAATAAAATATCGCACAATTCTTTTTCACTTCTTCTTCTTCTCTCAGTGGGTCCTAGGGGTACAAGTACCATACTTGGTACTGGGAAGAATATTGATTAACTCAATATTTTTCCCAACTTCGTAAGTGGGATTTTTCCCTGAGACAAATCTCGTGAAACGGCTCGTGGAGACAAGGCTTAAAAGGGAAGGAAAGATGACTCGGAACTACAAAGGGTTAGCGGTAACAGGAACAAAAAGTAAAATTTAGTAAAGGACTAATTGGAGCAGTCGAACAATTTTAATGGGGGGCTTTTTCCAGAATCAAGTGTCAAGGTAGGCCTTTAGAGCGTTTTTATGTCACCAAGGGGCTTAAGAAGGGTTGTTGTCTGTTAGGGTGTCCCACTTTGAGGGTCACCTCCGAATTTTGATGATGGTACCCTCTAAATCGTTGACCCCACTCATAAAAATAAGATTGCACTAAAGAAAAAAATTCTAAAAAAATTTTTAAGGGTTGCGCACGGCCAAAAACTACCCCCCGGAATAGGGCAAAATGCAGAATTTTGCCCATTTTGACGATTTTTTTAAACAACATTGTAATTGAGCTAGGGTTCTGAAAATTTCACAGTA